CATGTTGGGCCAAGTGGTCGTTTTTGCTGTTGTTGTTGTTCTTTTGCCGGTTTCACAATGGGTGGCATTTACCCACAATGCCTGTGATGCTGGATGTTTTTCTTGATAATGATAATGCTGTTGGTGATGGTAGATGATGTTGACGATGACGAGGTGGCAGTGGTTAAATTTATGATACTTAATTTGTTGCATACTTCATGGCTGATTCATGACAATACACAGCCATCCAGCCAGCCTGACTGGCATCCGGTCTGATTGCCCATTTGTGGGGGTGTGTGTGTCTTTCTGTCTGTCCTCCGTCACTCTGTCTGTCTCTTGAGTACAAAAGGTAAATGTTTGTAATGACAAAACATTAAGGTCACCATAAATGAGGAAGGATTAAAACCAGGCTAGCCAGTGATTAAACAAGAAATTGTGCAATTTGTCTGACCCGAGGTGTTAAGAAATGCTTAACCTTAAATATTAAACAAAAAGTTCAAGAGGCTGTGTTGTTCCGTCATTAACCCAGTGGTCTGGATGCGAAGGCGGGCAGAGCGAAAATGTGTTGTTTTTCCCAGGGAAATGTAAAAATTATATTCAACACCCAATAATACCGTTGGGATTATAAACGTAATGCCTTTGTCATTTTCATCATCATCAGTCGTTCTCACTCCCCTCTCTTTCCCTCTCAAGTATGGAGCAAGCATTAAAATTAGAAATTCAAGTGTGAAAGTGGGTTGGGGGAGGGGGAAGGAAGACTTACAAAGTATCTCTTGAAATGCAAAACCAGCAATATTAGAAGCCATCAAGAAGGTGCTGGCCCTGCCTCTTTGGCTTAAAGTGCACTTTACTTGGCCATGAGCGGAACCTAACAATGTCATCGCCAACATTGTCATTATTATCATTCTTCAGCCAGCCAGCCAAGTGACATTGTTGGTCCCGGGCACCTACACGTAATTCCTTGGTCTTAAGTTAAAATGCCACGACTTACAAAAGACTTCCTGGTTCTCAAGGACGGACGGTCGGATGGATCGACATAGCAGGGTAGAATACATGGCAGAGATGTTTCAAATTTTCCTAAAAAGCAAAAACGAAGTATTCACTCAATATTAATGCCAGGACAGAGAGACAAAACGGGGAATATTGTCGCCGTTAAGTCATTGTCACAGCAATGCATTTAGTCCTTTCTGTCCTCTCCTGCCATATCCTTCATCGTCTTCTTCTTCTTTGGAGTATTTTGTAATTTACATTTAATTAGGGATTGTGCTTTGGCGAAAAATTGCATGTTAAACGACAAAACATTATCCTTTTCTTTTGTTGGCCGACCCAGCGAACGAGACAGACAGGAACAAGGCCCGGACAAAGACACTGCCATTGCCAGGAATATTCACAAAGGAATTACCACAATGCCGTGCACAATCTTAAGATTCTACAATGTCATTTTATATTCCTGGCAAATATCTGGGGATTTGCGTTGTTGCGTTGGTTTTTTTGTTGCTGTTGTTGCATCTCCGCATCAAGCTTACATCATTAAATGAGACATAAAGTCGTACAAAGTCTTGAACTATTTCAGGAACAAATTTTCATTTCCGCTTTAAGAGAAAAGAAAGGAGAAAAGGACTATTTAAAAGGAGTGATGAAAGTAAAAAAAAAAGAAAAGCAAAAAAAGTTTGAGAGGTTTAAAAAAGTCAATATTTAATAAAATTTTTTTCAAAAACTAAAAAAAAACTACAATATAATGGGGGCGTATGAGTGGTGACAATACGTATACGCAACCATATTTCGGGCGTATACGTGGTAGCAATACGTATGAGACACAAGTCGTACAAAGCCTTGAACTATTTCATGAAAAATTATTAAATTTTCCTTTATAAAAATGAGAGAAGAGCGAATTGAGAGGAGTGAGAAAAGTACAAAAAAACAGAAAAAGTTTTAGAGATTTAAAAATTTTCATTGTTGAATGACATTTTTTTTTTTGATTACAAAACTTAAATATCTGAAAAATCCCACTAAGCGTATGAGTGGTAACTGGTGGGGGTGATTTGAGAACTTTAATGGAAGCGTCGCATTTCTGATTCCTGGGGTTGTATTGAGCAAAAAAGCCCACTTGACCATATGTCTATGGTGAAAATCGAGCCCCCCTCCCCATTTTGACTTGACCTTTTTTTCCGACTTTATTTTGTTTTAGAAAAGATGCAAATTTTTTTCGCCTTATATTTCATTAACTATAGGAAATTTTGACTTGCATTCAAAAGAGCATTTGTAGGTATTGAGTCCGGCTACAATTTCTCCGAACATATTAATTATAAACAACTTCGTTTTCAATGTCAAAAAGTCGAAAATAGAAAATTTCAATTATTTTTTGGAAAATGGAAGATATTCTAGGGCTATATCTCGTAAACTGTTTACAACCTCCATTTACTTTCAAATGGAGAATTTTAGCAGTTATCTCGGGCTACAATTTCTTTGAACATATTACAAAGGAAAATTTTTGTTTTCATGGTCAAAAAATTGAAATTCATCATTTTAATGTTTTCTGTTTTTTTTTTAATATTATGGCCTATAAAAGCAAATCCATTAAGATTTTTGTTCCAATGTCAAAATAAAAATTGTAGCCAAGGCAATAGTTAAGAACTCTCTAAAATATTGTAAAGGCATTGGAGTGCTCATTCTGGCAGTTATTGCCTTGAGAAGGTGTACATTTTCATTAAAAAATTATAAACATATTGAAATTTTAATTTTCCACACTTTTGAGTTTTTGATCACGAAAACGGAGTTTTTTATAATTAAAATGCTTAGAGAAATTATAGACCGAGACAGTACCTACATTTCTTCTTCTGGATGCAAATCAAAATTTTAAATAGTTGACGAAATAAAAGCCGTACAAAATTAAATAAGAAAATAGTCGAAAACATAGAAAATTCACATTTCAATTGTTTTTTGGAAAATATGAGAATATTCTTGGGCTCATATTGCGTTATCTGTTTAAAATTTTCAATTACTACCAAAAGAGGAATTTTAGAGATTATCGCAGGCTACAATTTCCTGAAACATATTATAAAGAAAAAAATTTGTTTTCTTTAGCAAAAATTTGAATTTAGCATTTTTCAACTCTTTAAGAAATGTTTGTATAAAAACGCCGATAAACTGAGATTTTCGATCCAATATTAAAACAAATATTGTAGCCACGACAATGGCAAAGAACTTCTGAAACATTGAAAAGGCTTTGGAATGCTTGTTCTGGCAGTTCCTGCCTTGTAAAAGTGCACATTTTAAATAAAATATTATAAAATATTGAAATTTGAATTTTTTACATTTTTGAGCGTTTGACCATGAAAATGAAGTTGTTTACAGTTAGCATGTTCAGAAAAATTGTAGTCCGGAATAATTGCTAAAATCCACCCTTTGAAAGTAAGTGAAAGATGTAGGCAGTTTATGAGATATCAGTCCGAGAATATTATCATATTTCCAAAAAAAGAATAGAAATTTGAATTTTCTACGTTTTGTCTTTTTGACCATGAATGCGAAGTTTTCTATAATTGATATGTTCGGGAAAATTGTAGCTCGAGATACAAGATACAACTTTTCTTTTGTATGCGAATGAAAATTTCAAATAGCTGACGAAATATAAGCCAAAGATAATTTTTATCTTTTCCAAAGCAAACGTATACGCAACTATGTTTGGGGCGTATGAGTGGTGACAATACGTATACGCAGGAAAAAAAATTTTTGACATTGTTTTGTTTACTTTTTAAAGCTAGATTTCATTTTAATTTTGTGTGAAGGTAAATTTCATTACAAAAAATTATTTTAAAGGCAAAATTCCATTTTTTTGATAAAAAAAATTTCAAGGTATAGAAAAGGGGAGAACTTTGTGGACATACATATAGCCTGGGTACAAATAAATATTTCGTCATTGTCAAATCTTTCCTCACCCAAATATTCCCACCAAAATTGATTAACACCTTAAAGCTAAATTTGAAAATTCCATTGCATATTTAAGTCATTGTTTACATGAACAACAATTAAACACGCCTGAAAGTAGACAACAAGGCAATGAACTAATGAAAAGTACAACAACAAATTTCCATAGAAGTGAGGTTGTTTGTTGCTCACAATGTTTGCCTCAAGTAAGGCAACATTTTTAAAAGCAATAACCAAAAGAGCCTTGCCTTCTCCTTCCCCACTCCTTGGCCTTTACCACAGCTTCGGCCACATTCTATGCCAAAAATGCGGAAATGGAAAATTTCTTGCTACGTTAAAATACCACAAAAGCCAAAATTCACAAAATTACAAAAATTCCAAACAATGTCACCGACACACACACACACTCACACTGAGAGAGATTCACTAGTATATGCTCGGCACAACCATATTAAATGCAGCACCACATAAAAGCATCTTCGCGGAAATAGTTATACAGTCGAGCAGCATAAATACACATGCCTGTTATTGTATTAGAGACAATGAAAATGTGGTGCGAAAAAGTGCTGCACTTAAGATTTTAAATTTTAATAGAAGGGGGAAGGGAGGAGGGAGGTGAGAGAAAAAGAGATAGGAGTTTCTTAAAATCAGGATATGACTAAATGCTATTTAGTTATGGCATACGGCAAGTTATTATGCATTAAAATTTACACAGCTTTAATAGACGATTGAAAAGAAAAGAGAATTTTGTTGGAAATAGGTGGGCGTTTAACTACTGCCATCAAGTATACGCCCTGGGTTACAAAGGGAGCGTGCTTTGTGGATCGCCAGATAAATTAATTTTTAAGAATATTTTTTTAAGCAAAGTTTTTTTCAAAGGATCAATTAACACTTTTGGGTTTTTAGAAATTTTTCTCAAGTCAGTCCACATTATGGTCTTCTTAATATTTTTTTGAAAGTTCAGGACACACTCGAATATTTTTAAAATATTTTTCAATGACTTAGCTATACTACCGAATTTAGAAAAATATTTAAAATTTAAAATTTGTTGAATACATATTTAGATATTAATTTCAAATTATTATTCCCTTTTGCAGAATCCTCTTATTTCTGGATATTCGCAATTATCTCATCTACACATTCATCAAGGAGATTTTGAAAGGTAAGTTGAATTAAGAATGTTGAATTGAGAATTCCTTGAATTTGCAAACATTTGATTTTAAGCCCTCGCGTTATGCTCCAATAGAGAGCAAACTATAAGCTACTTAGGTGTGGCGTAACTGATCCTTTTGATGCAGTAATTAATTGTTCACTGGTTCAGTGGTTCACCCGTTAACTACATGAAGACATTCGCAGATTTGAGGCGATTCCTTGAAATTTTAAGATTTTTGTTCCTTTTCATAGATTTTAAATTAAATGGTTTTAGTTTCCGAAATAGCGATTTTAAGAAGTGGGATTGGTAGTCCTATGAGATGGTGAAAATTCATATTTCTTTTAAATAATTATTGAAATTATGGACTTATATATAAAAATTTCTCTGAAATTTAAAATAATTTTTGTTGGTTCTCCCATGCGTATGAGTGTTGATGTTTAGTATACGTCCAACTTAATTTTTTAAAAAGGAAGCAATAAAATAAGGTAGGTTTATTTCTGAAGATAAACGCCATAATTTTTACTTTTTTTTTCATTGAATTAAAGCAAAAAATTTCGGAAATAGCATCTAATTTTAGAATAAATTTAGATTTGTTCGAATTGGCCACTTTTGGTCCGAATTATGGCCCTCGGACGGCCAATAAAACCACTCGTCACATTCCCAAAATGTTTGCGTGCCCAAGGCTTTAATACACCCTCCAGAATATTTTCGCGATAATATTCGGTATTTATTCTGATGTGGCGGTTCACACCACACCATGGCCGGCGCTTGAGTTCTGGTGGGCAACCGAAGGTTCACATTTTCAGCTGACCTCTTAGGCAGGTCAATTCGATCATTTTTTTGTTTACAAACTGCTGGGCAACGAATGCTTTCTCATCGGAGAAAACCAAATTCTGGTAGGCTACGCTACCAGTATCACGGTGATACGAGACACAAAAGATTTATTCACATTTAAATGTTGAAGTGCTCTAACGATAACCACTTGTGGTTTTCAACCAATGTCAATGGAATAATTTTAACAGCTGTCGAATGAGTGGCTTAGAAATGACAGTAGTCCGCAGTTGGTTGCAGTTTTTTCATCTCATCTTAGTCAGCATAAAATTCTATGTCCATTTAGCGATGTCCATCTATCCGTCTATGGAAATCACTCAGGCTTCCGCAGGAATTTTGGTATTGAAAATGGGCCATGTAGGTCCACGTTTTGGTATAGCTCCATATAACGATGCCTCCCGATATTCGGGTTCTTTAATGATTGCAGCAACATTATTCACCGGAATTGTTTGGCAAAAATTTGGCATTTAAAGTGCGAAATGGATACTACAGCTTATGACAGAAAATTGTCTGTGCAGATCCACGTCTTCGTATAGACCCCATGTAACGGTACCTCCCGATATTCCGAATTTTGATGATTTTTGCGACATTATTCACCGCAAATATTTCAAATTTGCTATTTGAAATTGGTAGTGGATACAACAGCCTATGACAAAAAAGTGTCTGTGCAGGTCCACGTCTTCGTATAGCCCCCATATAGCGCTACTTCCCGATATTCGGTATTTTGATGATTTAAGCGACACTATTCACCGGAATTGTTTCAAATTTGGTATTTGAAGTTCGTAACGGATACTACAGCCTATGACAGGAGATTGTCTGTGCAGGTCCACGTCTTCGTATAGCCCCTATATAATGGTACCTCCCCTTTTTCGGTATTTTGGTGATTTAAGCGACATTATTCACCGGAATTGTTTCAAATATGGTATTTGAAGTTCGTAACGGATACTATAGCCTATGAGAGGAGATTGTCTGTGCAGGTCTACGTCTTCACCTAGCCCTGTATAACTGTATATCCCGATATTCGGTATTTTGATGAATTTAGCGACATTATTCATCGGAATTGTTTCAAATTTGGTATTTGAAGTTCGTAACAGGTACTTAAGCCTGTGACAAAAAATTTCGTATGCAGATCCACGTTCGTATGCAGCCTATATCCTCCTGTATTTGGTATTTTGATGATTTTAGCTATAATATTCACCGATTTTTTTAGTTTCGCTTTTGAATATTCTAATGGCTTATGGAAAAAGTTAATTAAAAGAAAGGGAGAGAAAAAGTACATAATTCTCATTTTTAGAAAATATTTTTCTAATTTGAAATAAATTCCAATTTCGCTTTTTGTTTAGAACTCTCTCTCTGTATGTTTTCCATGACCATGTCCATTCTCTCTGCTTATCTCGTCCCATTTGAAGCTACTTCAAAAAAAGAAAAAAATACTGAAATTCAATTTTTATTTATTTTAATTTTCAATTTTATTTTGTTATCCACCATCAAATGAATATCCATATCCATGACCATTTTAAATTTCCCTTATTTTGTAATGAAATGTATCCTACAAAAATACCATAGTCAACAATTCAGATGCCATTGGAAGCGTTTGTATATCAACCTCCACCCACACCCCCGGAATAAGTCATGGGTGCCGGCATTCCCTGGGTACTCCATTGAAATTGTAAAGAATTTTTCCAATTCAATTCAATGGAAATATTCAATTGCATATCACTTTGTAGTAATGGAAAAGCTATGCAAGCTCACAGAGATGTGTGAGAGAGTGAGCGAGTGCTGTGAGTGAGTAAGGGTCTAAGTAAGTTTGGATCCACACAAGTTGCTAAAGGAAAAGTATGTTGTTTATTTAGCATTTCCGAAACCCCTTCGTTTTTTTCTTTTTCAAGAACAAGGGAATGCTGTGTTATATGGTGTAAGGAGGGGAGGGGTTGGGGGATGGGGAAATATTTGTTGATTGAAGCAGCAGCAAAAAATAAAGTCTGAAAGTTTTTCACTTCAACGCCTCGCCTTAAGTTGTTGTCGTTCTCTGCTTCTCCCCTTCCGCTTTTGTTACCCCTTTTTCCCTGTTTTGGCTTCCATTCCATTGATATTGTATTTTTGTCGTTGTTGTTGTCCGCCTTCTACTTTTCGAAGCATATCAATGGATAAATTGTTGCATTGATAAGTAAAATTGATTGAAAATATAGTTTAAAGGCATTTTGTCAGAAAACTTTCTTAGTTTTTTATTCCACTCTTCACTCATCTTCTTTCAAAGCTCGTGCTTAACAAAGTAACTACTAATTTGAAGTAGTCGCAAAAAAGAGAGAAAAAAACTAAACTGTTCAAGAAATTAAATTGCTCGATGTTTGTTTTGTAAGTGTGTGTGTGTGTGTGTGTGTGAGGGGATAAATGAATTGCATTGAGAGTATATTTTCCGAATGCGGAAGTATTTTCCTTTTTTTGTTGTTGTTGCCAATAAAATATGTTACGAAGTAAGTTAAGGAATTATTAAAATTCCAATTTCAAGGAGAGGAACTTAGTTCCTTTGAGACTTAAGTCAGGAGAAAAAGAAGGTTTGTAAAGAGGTTTCTTTTTAAGTTTTCTTAAAAGAATGTCATGGATAACTTAAATCCTGATGTAACTCCGAAAATTAAGAAAACAGAAAATAAAATACTGTGGAGCACCATGACGTATGAGTATTGTTAGCACTCATACTCTCAGTGTACCACCTGTTATTATTAATGGAAGAACAACAGAAATAATACACTGTGCGGTAATATTCAATTTTTCAATAATTAAGCCTATGAAAACAGGGCCAAAAATGAAGACACATGTATCGGCGTTTTGAAATTTACATCAAAAAGTAAACTAAATAAATGGGGGAACATTCCCCTGTCTCCTACACTTCGGATTAAGACTCCTTGGAATTCGTTCATTTTAGGCACATGGTGTTTTCAGCGATAAGACAGATATGTTAACCCTTTAGCGAGTCAACAAAGGGGTCTTTTTGGTCCTTTTATCAAAAAAGGTAAAAAACTTAATTTACACGTTATTGTATTTTACAGCTAAAAGTAAACTAAATAAAGTGGGAGGGGCAACGATCCCTCCTCATCAACACTTTTTCGGATAAAGATTACTTGGAATCCGTTCATTTTAGGTATATGGTGTCTTCGGCAATATGACATATAAAATTACGAGGAATATTTCGGTCAAAAATGTTAACGCTCAAGCGAGTCAACAAAGGTGTCTTTTTGGTGATTTTATAAAAAAGGTAAAAGCATTTATTTACACGTTATTGTATTTTACAACCAAAAGTAAACTAAATAAAGGGGGAGGGAGCACGTTCCCCCCTCATCAACACTTTTGAAAAATAATCGGATAAAGATTACTAGGAATCCGTTGATTTTAGGTATATGGTGTCTACGACAATATGAAAGATAAAATTACGAGGAAGATTTCGCTCAGAAATTTTAACCCTTAAGCGAGTCAACAAAGGGGTGTTTTTTGTCCTTTTTTCAAAAAAGGTTAAAAACTTCACTTAAACGTTATTGTAGCAAATCAAAATATTCTACAAAATTATTTAACATAAAATTCTACTTAAGACTCTAGAAGAAGTGACTCGTGATGAAAATCGAGCGTGACAGTGTGAGCACTCTAGCATTTAAATGTGAATAAATCTTTTGTGTCTCGTGCCGTCGCTCAGTACCCTGATAATGATACTGATAATGAGTGGTCGAAAGAAAAAAGGAACAGCAGCAGAAATGGTTCGCAAAGTAAAGAAGCGACCAGCATCGCAGTGGCCGAAAAATGGCTCACGAGCTGAACATATCGCAATATTCCATTCGGAAAATATTGAAAATTGAGCTCCATTCGCAAAGCTTGAAAAATAAAGCCACTCATATTCCAAACAAAAATGCAAAAACTTAAACCGCAACGGAAATAAAATAGACTCAAAAGAGCTAAAGAGTTGCTTTGCTTGGCCGAAGGTGGTGAACTGCCGAATTTGGTTTTCTCCGATGGAAAAACATTCGTTGTCCAGCAGTTTGTAAATAAACAAAATAATCGTGCTTACTTGCCAAAGAGGTCAGCTGAAAATGTGCACCTTGGGCTGGCCACCAGAACTCAAGCACCGGTCATGCTGATGGTGCGGGCCGCCATAACAGCCGGTTGTCGCTCTCTTCTTGCATTAATCGACC